GCTCACGTCTTCAGCTACCCTCTGATTCCTGTGTGGCAGAGCGACGGGGAGGAGCCTGAGTCTCGAGTCGGGCGTGGTCGGAGTTTTCTGGAGGCTGTACGCTTCCACGGGCTCGAGCTTCGCAATGCAACGTTGAGTTTGTCCAGAGGCGCGCCCCGAAACTAGAAATACGCAGGTGGCTGGACTCACAAATTGAACATCCAAAGGCTGCGCGCTGGATGCGCATGCGGACTCCCAGCCTACACGGCCAGAGAACAACCGGGCGTTGGAAATGCATGCCCACATGTGTTTCTAGCTCTCGCCCAGGGCGGCCACGTCAGATGTACCCAACGTTGCAGACGATGCCGATGCTTCACCTCCTGTGGCCGGGAAGCTCAACGGGCGGGACGTGTCGCTGTGCGGGTCGCCACTCGGCGTGCGGCTAGTTTGCGCCGAGGCATTCGGTTCAAGCTTGGGCTGGCTTCCCCAGAGGGTGTCCAAACCAGCACGCGTTGGCTTAGGTCGGGCATGTCCTCCTACATGCGGGCTTTGGGCGAAAAATAAAAAAAGTCAAGACGTACTCAAAAACAATCGAATCATATTAGGAAAATCGTTCCCAGACTATTTTTGAATATTGCTCCTGTAGAGGGGCACGCCCGACTTAAGCGTTGGCATGAAGGTAACAAAAACGGGTCTGGAGGGACACGGGCCCAGGACGCGCGGGCTTTCCCCAAGACTGGCCTTTCGTCCCGGCTCATTTTCCGACGGCCTTGGCTTGGCAGGGCCCTGGGAGGCCTACCGACGATGGCGAAAGAACCCGAAGACTCCTTCTCGCCACGGCTCTGCTTGACGACGAGGAGGCCTTACGAGGCAGCAGCTCGGCGACGCGCGCGCGCGCGTGTGTTTACGAAGGCTCAGGGCACCGGATGGGGCGGCGGCGGCGGCGCACTGCGGCGGCGGGGCGGCATGGCCGACCCTCGCCAGGACCCTCGCCATGAGTGCAGCCTGGCCTTCCTGCGCGGCGACTGAAGAAGCCTGCCGCTCGGTGCGAAGCACTGCAAGGATCTAGGGCCCCTTGCGGGCGCGCTCCAAGCGCGAGTCGATCCTGGCCCTGACCGCTGCGGCCACGGCCTCTGTCGTCTGGCGGCGGAGCGCAGCCATGCGCTGGCTCGCGCGCGCCCTCGCGGGGCCAGACTCCTCGGGGGCCTGCGCCAGCTCCTCCTTCAGCGCTTCCTCTACCGCTTCCAGGTCGGACTCCAGCCTGTCGACCGTCTCGCGCAGCCTCGTGATCTCGGGCGCCTCGGGCTCGCCCTGGCCGATCTGGTGCAACGCCCTCAGGGCCTCGCTGTACCACCCGCTGGGGTCCTGCATCAGGTGCAGGCTCTCGGCCAGGTCCTCCGCGCTGACGGCTCTGCTCTCGAACTCGTACCTGTCCCAGATGCCCTGCAGGATCGCCAGCTCCTTGTCTGCCTCTGGGACGACGTCCTCCTCCTGCTCGGTGGAGACGTTCCCCAGCTGGTGGAGCAGCTCCTGGTCGGCCGCCTGCTCCTTCGCAATCGTCTCCAGTTGCTCGCCCAGCTTCTGGTTAGCAGACGCATACACTGAGTCGATCTCGGAGGTCTCCTTTGCAGCCTCGGGCAGCCAGCTCTCTATCGCCTGGGCGACCATTTCCCTCGTCCTTTTGGACGCGTGTGGCGCTGGACGGTAGTGGCGGCGCCTCGCCTTCTTGCCGCGCGGTATGCTGTCGATGAGCTCCTCCGCCGCCAGGCCTCTGAACGCCCTGGCCGCCTCCAAGTTCCTGAACTCCTTGGTGACGAGCCCGACCTCCGGGAAAGACTCCCCAGCCTCCGATTTCTCGATCGTGTCCGCCGGGTTGGCCGCATATGCCAGCTCCTTGCTCGGCGGTGTCGCCATCTTCCATGCCGCCTCCCTGGTCAGCGTCAGCGCCGGCCGCGTGGTCCTTGCCTTCACCAAAGCCTGCAGCTCTCGGCGAAACGCGATCGCCGCCATGCGCCGGGCCGTCTCTTCGACCCGCGTCTCGTTCTCGGCGTCCCACTTGGACAGGATGCCCTCCAGCATCTCTAGCTCTTGCTCCTCCCTGGCCTGCGGGTCCTCCCAGATCCACTTGGCGATCTCGTCCAGCACGGACTGCGTCTCCTGCTCGAGGGCCTCGCTCTTCTCGGAGGCCTCGTCCAGCCACCTGAGCGACGAGCAAAAACAGGTCTGTCGCGAGATGACGCAGCGACCTGGCGCGGCGGCTCAGTTGCGCGGGCCGCCAGTGCGGCAAGTTGAATGGGGAACGAGGGCGCTGGCGTGCGACCGTACGCGAGCAGCTTGTGCGCCAATGTCGGCGCAGACGATCCCCCCTTTCTTGCGTCGTTCACCTGTCGATCTCCTCCCTGCTCGTCTCGCCGTCTGGGCCGCGGACGTCCCTCGACAGGGGGGCGGCGGTCAGGCCGAACACCCGACCCGACACCGCAACGGCCGCGGCCAAGAGCGCGCGGCCGAGGGGAGCTGCCATCGCACGCGTGCAGAACGGTAGCAAACACGTAGTGTGAGCCACAAGCGGCTGCGGACCTCTGGGCGCTCTGGGCCCGGGGGCATCGGCCCTCTCCGTGGAGCGCGGCCAGCCGACAACGAGGCACGGAGCACGTCCGCACAAGCATTCCCGTTGGCAAATCCACCGCGCGACTCGGCATGCTTTCTCGCCCGCTTTCTGGAATGGAAGCGGTTTGCCGGCCGCATGCCCTGCCGCGTGCGCGTGCCGTGCCGTGCCCGCCGGCCGTGCCGTGCCTGGCCTCCAGATTCCAGAAGGCAGCACGCTGCCGCCCGCCTGCCGCCCGCATGCCGTGCCCGCGTGCCGCGCGGCGTGCCGTGCGGTGCCGTGGCCGCGTGGGCGTGCCGTGCACGCGCAGGTCGACGCGCACTCCTCCCGAGCCTCCCTGCTGGTGTGTGCGAGGCTCGCCATCGCTCGGACGTCCATCCCTGGTGCATTTTTCGGCTTCGTGCGTGTATGCTTCGCAAGGTGGCCTCAAATGCTCCTCGATGGTCCTCGTCGAAAAACATGTACACGTCCAAGCGATGCGAAGGAGGCGAAAAGCCGTGGTGCTAACGCGAGCGCCACATCTTACCGTCCACCCGTGTGGTGCTGGAGCTGTCAAGCTGCAGGACTCTGAACTGTGCAAAGCGTCCCAAGCGAACCGCCCAGGCCGCCTTGCCGACTCGTCTGGTCGCATGACGAGGGTGAGTCGCTCACAGGAAACATGGGTGGGAGGAGGGGGGTGCAACAATGACAAGATGCTTGGAGGCTTGACATTTGAGCTTTCCTAAGTAGCGTAGCTTCGCGCATCGCGCCCCGCGATGCACGATCATCTTCGCGTCCCCGCGCCCTCGCGACGCGCCCCTGGAGAATGGCAACCGCTCTGGCCCAGACCGCGACGCGCGGTTATCTTCGCACTCCTGAGGGTGACCTGGCGGATTCCGAAAACCCTGAACACAAAAACGTTTTCATCTCTTGGGGGCGCATCTTTTACTTCTTCCGCCTTCCGCTGGCCGTCCGCCGGTTTCCGCTGGCGGAGGCGGCCTCGCTGTACTTCACCGAGGAAGAGGTGGCAACTCCTTCGATCCTCGAAGGCAAGGCCCTTTTGTGGAACGCCTCACCTAGACAACGAGGTGCCTGGAGGCTCGACGTCTGAGCCTCCGCTCGGATCGGCCAAGGATGCGCAGGCGAGGCCCCGCTCGCACCTGCGCCACGTGGTGTCCACCCGCGGCGCGGCGCCTGCTCGCGAGGAGAAGGGCGGTGCTGCTGCGTGGGCGGGGCGGAATGGAGCCCAGACGCCCGACGCCTGATTTTTTTCGGCGCAGGGCCCCCCCCACCCAGACACGCTCGCGTCGCGAACACACCAGGACGGGACACTGTTTGTTGTTTTCGGCCTCTGGGGGCCCTCGCCGGGCCCTGGGGCCGTCACAAAGCGACCCGGGGGGGTGAAAAACCGGCCCTGGGGAATGGGCCGGGTTTCCAGGGACCGAGTATTGAAAAATAAGACATCGCTTTAGCTGCCCCGACACGCAACACGCAAGACATAGCGTGCTGACACGGAGCTCAACACGTGGATGGACTGCGCAGGTCTGGCGCGATGCGGTCGCCCACACGTGGGCCAACACGCGGAGCCAACACGCAGCGTGTTCAATCCTGTCGGTTTGAGCACGGTACGTATTGGGTGTCAAGACGAGCCGTAGGTCGGGCATGTCCTCCTACAGGCGGATGTTGGGTGAACAATAAGAGAGAATCAATAACATTTAAAACATATGCAGAAATACAAATAAACGGTCCCCGTATTATTTTTTGACTACTTTGGAATAGTCCTCCTGTAGAGGACCCGCCCGACTTAAGACGAGCGCATCATGGCAGGCAAAGACATCGCGTGTCTGGGCACACGGGCCGGCTGTCCACCCCGAGCCCTTCTCTCTCACGGCCCCGGGGGCCCGAAGCCGGCCCCCAGAGGCAGAAGATCAAGAACAATCTCCTCCTCCTCCTCCTTCCTCCTTGTCCTCGTTCCTCTTCCTCCTCCTTCCTCTTCCTCCTTCCTTCCTCTTCCTTCTCCTCCTCCTCCTCCTCCTCCTCCTTCCTCCTCCTCCTCCTCCTCCTCCCCCTGAGCCAGACGTTGGGTGTCTGGGCCGGAAGCCGTGACTCCAGAGGCCGTTCGGGATGATGCGGGCACCCCTGGAACGCTCGCGCGGGGGCGCGTCTCCGTGAAAACACCCCGAGGCTGGAAGGCCTCTCGGAACCGGCGGACACACCGCATAACCTGGAACGTCGTGGAGGTCTGGGGAGGAGGAGGAGGAGGAGGAGGAGGAGGAGGAGGAGGAGGAGGGGAAGCAGGAGGAGGACAAGCAGGAAGAGAAGGAGGAGGAGCAGGAGGGGGAGGAGGAGGAGGAGGAGGAGGAGGAGGAGGAGGAGGAGGAGGAGCAGGAGGAAGAGGACCAGAGTAAACCCAAGACTCGTCAAGGATATTGCGATAAGCCCTCCCTCCAAGTTCTCAAAATTTCCTGTTCATGGGACCCATACAAAGATTCATTTTCACTGAAGGAGAGGCCCCGTTGGAAAACAACCGCTTGAAAATTCAAAGCTGTGCCAAAACACTATTCCTGGGACTTCAACGCCGCGAATCATAGTTACTGCTGCGTCTTGATGAACCTGAGTCGCGCCAGAACTCTATTCCTGTCACTTCAGCACCACGAATCAACGTAACTGTTGCGCCCTGACAGTCCGACATCGTTTCAAAACCATGTCTGGAACGTTAACCATGAAGATCCTTCGAGCTGTTCTGAACATGTCCAAGCGAATGTGCGCAGCGCAAAGGCGAGAGCCACATTTTGAAAAGGATCCGCCCTCCACCCGCGAAAGTGCCACACATTTTAAGCTTCAGGCTCATAAATGATAAAGGCGTCTCAAACGCAACGCTGGGGCGGCCCTTTCGACCAGCCTCGGGGTGCAACAGAGAGAAGTTATTCATACGGGAAAGGAATGGAGGCTGAGGAGGAGAAGAAGGAGGAGGCGGAGGAGGAGGAGGAATAGGAGAGGAAATAGGAGGAGGAATAGGAGGAGGAATAAGAGGAGGAGGAGGAGGAGGAGGAGGAGGAGGAGGAGGAGGAGGAGGAGGAGGAGGACCTCTTTGGACCTCTTTGCTCTCGGACCTCTGTCCCTCAGTCTCCGTCCTGGCTTACGGGCATCTGCCGTCAATCGGAAGACTCTGAATCCTCCCGCGGCGCCCGCACATGCGCAGCCGTGCCTCTCGCAGCAGCCAGCAATCTCTGAACGTTTGCCTGGAAGCGCGACTCGTTGGCTGCACTGCTCGGCTGCTCCCGCTCGTGCCCGTCGTTGCGGGCGCGGGTCGCCGCGGGAGGCTCGGTGGGGCCCCCCCCACGCTCGCTGTTCTCCTGCGAACCCCTGGCCTCGTGGGCCGACACGACACGACCCTCATCTCTGCGAGCAATGGCCATCTTGATGGCTCTGGGGGGGCCCTCACGCCGAGGGAAAAGACCTAATTCAATTCGACGAATATTCTCGGCACCGTTCGGTGTGAGACCTCGACACTTCAGACGCAAGGACCTCGAGTCCACAGTCGCATACATGCCGCAGACCGAACAGATCTGCAAGAACCAGCGATCGACCCTAGTGATCGTGTGGGATTCGTGGATCTCAAGGTCCACTCCTTTCATCGGCAGGAACTCTGGGACCACCGACCTGGTTTTGCCAGGGGGCCCAGGACACGGAGAAACCGAAAAACGCAAAAACCTGGCTCCAGTCGCGATCACGTCGCACTGTGAGCACCTCCATTTGCTCCCAACACGCTCTAGCTGGTGGGGAGAATCTCGGATCAATCTCTCCTGCTTTAAAAGTCTCTTACTTACTGGGGCTCTACCAGCACGCTCTGACGTCTCCGACGCGGCGGCCAGTAGCAAAGCTCTGCGCGCTCTCTTCCGCACGAGGTGTGCGATCGCGTCTATCTTGTCAGTCTCAGGAACCCCCCCCCACCAGCCCGAACTCCCAAGCCAGCTCCGCCCCGACTCCCGCCCAGACGTCAGCTGCTAAATTCCCTGCTGCCAAGAACAGCTGCCGCGGCGATTCAAGCAGCTCAGGCGTCTCGTCCAGATGGGACGCCGTCCACTCTACCTTTACAACTCTGTCTGGGTGGGTCTGCCAGGCCACTCTGGCTCGGGCCCAAAGGTCCTCATTGGGACCCGTGGCTTTAGGGTGCTCCATGCGGTATTTCCAGGTCTTCGCGATCGTCCTGTGATCAGTAATGAAAATAAAATCAGCGTGGCACTCTTCGAGCGCCAAAGCGAACGCTAAAATCTCAGAGCGGGGGACCGTTTGCCTGCGACCGAGGAGTGGGACTGCAACAGCACGACCCACACTCCACTCCCCGTCGCGCACCTGCAATGCTACAATCGCTGATCCACAGCGGCGTCGGCGAGGGTCCGAGGAGTGCTTCCCTCCTGAGCCGTCGCCGAAAATGTGGATCTCTCCTTCGTACCGACACTCCTCCCAGTCCCCCAGCTCACCAAACCGAACCTCCCTCCCCTCTAACAGTTCATCATTAAACCTAGGGTGCGTGAGAGAGGCTGGCGGCAGTCCTCGCAGCCACAGCGCTGGCTCTGCTTCAGCTTGCGCCATCGCAGCCGGCAGGAGGTCCGCCGACTTGGTGAAGTCCTCGTGGTCCACGTTCTTGGGACATAGCCAGATCCGATGCATCAAGGTCTCGTCCTCCTCCTTGCACCTATCGCACTTCTTGCAGTCCAGGAGGTATCCTTGGTCGACGGATCGCTGCTTCGGCCACTGTCCTCCCGCGACCACGGCGATGTTGGCCCCGACCATGTCCAGCTGCCCCTGCTTCTCGAACCTTCGCTGCTCTGCGCGGATCTGCCAGACATCCGCTCCATCCTCCAGACCTTCACCATGTGGGTGTGCTGCTGCAGCCTTCCAGTATTGAGCTACGATGTCGTCCTCGAAGTCGT